ATACAGAACTACAATGTATAAATTCTTGACCAATGATTTACATACAAGTGTAAGGTGCAGAAAGACAAGATATTGTGAACTTGCAGTCGTAAAGTACCGGTTTTTTTCTTATTTACAAACGACCGAAGCGTTGGATCACTGGATCGTTGTGAAATCAGGAATAACACGCTTTTCAATCAATTAGCCATCATCATTCATTTTTGACAGCGTATGCGTCCTTATGTGTTACATTCCAACGACGGTTTCATTTTTGGCTACTCTTAATTAGTCAGAGGCCGTTAGTATGGCCAACACTTTCATAAAAGCAGATAGCAGCGATGTAAGGGGAATAACAGCCATTTTTAAGTAATACTTAAAAAAATATTAGGGGGGATTACAACGGAGAAGGTGCAATGTTTTGAAGGATGGTAAGTAAATTTGCAGCCGCTATTTTGAAATGTTGCATATTAATAAAGGGACATATTATACGCGGTTTGTCTGCGGAGACACCCGTCACCGTCGGAGTGGTTGTACCCTGCGCAAGGCGCGTCCAGGTTTATCGAACCGACATCCCATATCTATTCAGTCTGGATCGCCTTGAGGAAACGTGGGCGCGGAGCACTCTGATGTATAAGAACAGAGTTCTTTTGAGCCTCCAAGAGGTAGAGGACAGCAGGACCCAGCCCCGAAGAGCTGCGTGCTATTGAACACGGAACGTGTGTGCAAGCCGGGTTTGTTTGTCGAAAAAGCGACTGTGAAGGGCTTTGGAAAGCCATGTACAATCCTTATCGATCTCGGGGCGTCGGGCAATTACGCTCGACGCTCCATGGTAGAAGGAAGTCAGCTGTATGCCGAGATACTGGAAATGCGGTAGGACATGTGTCACTGTGGCGACGGTTCCTGTAGATCTCGGTGTCAAGTTTCTCGACTAAAATAGCGTAAAACGCTGTATAGACTTAAAATTGGATCAAAGGTATGACCTATCCTTGGTATGGCATGATTGGACCACCATGAGCCATGGATCGATTGGAGGTACACCGTGGGCTCGACGTCCACCTTTCTTGGTGAAGCTTTGGTGAGTCATGAACTCACCTCGGCTAGGAAGCTGAAGCGCTAATGGTGCGGGCACTGCACTGGGGCAGTAAAAATGCTGAATATCGGAGTATTCGAGTTGTCGAACACCGAGGGTGTATCGAAAAAGAATCCCGAGCATGGTTTGCGGGTTAAACATTGGATGGCACGTAATCCACTGAGCACTGCTAATGTTTTGAAGCATTTGCTGCATGCCAAGAGAGGCATGGTCTTACGATGCCCGAGGTAGCTGTGGCAGAGCCCTAGTGATGCGCGTTGAGTGGTGCGTAATCCATGAGCACTGCTCACGCTTCGAAGCAGTTGCTGCATACCAAGTGTGGCATTGTCGGACATGGTCGGAGGCATCTTGGGCAAAGCAATTCTGATGAGCGTGGAGTGACACGTTACCACTGGCCGAAGATTGCGGGAATAGCAGCTCTTTATCAATTGTTGTTCATAACATCAACGCTTCGATGAAACAGTGAGTAGGGACACTGGACGACGCTAAG